AAGACGATTTTAATGAAGAATGATTAGGTGCAAACTGCATTTTCTAATGCAGTTAGCTTCCAACTCACAAAATATTCATTTTACATTTAGGATCATTCGCAGATATGAACAATTATGCAAAAAGAAAACAAATCTTATTGACAAGACAAATTCAAATACGCAGTACTATTCACAGTTTCTCTGATATCTTTCGCAGAAAACGGAATAGATAATACAATTCTAAATCAACAACTGGATACAGAAAATGATAAAATCGCTTTTTTTGTACGTATTGTTTCAAACTGTTGATCGTAGTGAATACTGTCGATGTTACTCGAAAGTGTTCTCCACACTATTCATCAACGGATTCTCCTCGTGAGCGATTCGCACAATGAGTCGATTCCAACAACGAATTCTGTAGACAGATTTCACCTTCCAATAACTATAAAATCCCCAGCACGAATACGCGTACAAAGGACTCCAAATCTGCCGACAGTTAACACTCTTCACAATAATACGTACGACCAAGTGGTGTTTCCAAGTCTCAATTCAGTCCAGTTTCCAAACAACTTTTACTTACGCGAACATTACGCGTACAAAAATACATTCCACCAAACCTACGCGATAACCACGCATACAAACGATAAATTGCAAGTACTACGGCACCACCAAACAGCAGTTAATCCTCCACAATCTCTTCTCAATACAACTCTCGTATCGAATCCAAACCAGGAATTCCCACAACAAATATATCCGAATGCTCCGGATAATGCGAATGCAATTCAATATCTGTCAGTGAAATGAACGATATACAGTAATGCAGTCAAGTTATCAAATCACTTCCTGAAACACACCAATAACAAACCAATCATCATTCATCATTCTACTCAACAAATGCTAAGGAAAGGTCACTTTACGACTTTAGTCGCGACAACACACGTCTTCTTGTGGGCCGTTGATCATCCCACCACATGATGGCCCTCTTATAGGGCACGCTTTGACATCCTCGAAAATTCCTTGAACAAATTCCGATTAATTTTTAACAGAAAACAATAATTCTAACAATTGGAAAAACATATTTTCTAGAGCAGTGGTTCTCATAGGGGGTGAAATTATCCATTTTGGTTGATTTGGAGGTGTCAAGTGGTAATGGAGGGATCGGGAAAATAGTATTTAGTACAGTTGTGATGCTATAATAGAACACCATTCTGATGGTGTTTTTCATCTTGGATATGTAAATGCGGTTAGCTGATGGCAACATTGGAATTACATACATTTGTCTTTGAATGCCGTTTCAACAGGGTTTTCATTCTTTTCCTTGCTGTTACAATCGCTCTCATAGCTTTTATCACCAAAAGTGTTCTCTTCTGATAATTTCTCATTCATTTCACTCAACAATTGAAGTCGAATTCTCATTCTATCAAATACACTCTATAATTGATCATTTGACTGTCGAACGTTGTTGAACAATAATATTCGATTGCTGTATTGTTGATTTCGGTTGTCAGCACTCGTCAGTAAATATTATATGCTACAGAATAAGAATTTTTGAAGTTAAAT